GATTCCATGTTTGCTAAACTTAAGCTTCTTGGAGATGGTGAGACTCGGAATATTTTTGTTGAATTCAAGTGACTGAATTATAAATTCTTCACAAATATTTCCAATTTATTAGGTAGGAAAGTATATTTGTCATAATGAGGAACACTAGGTGCTAAGAGATTGACCGCCAAATCTTAATAGCTTAACAAATTTGAGAGTTATTCCTTGCTCCTGTAACAGTTTGGTGCAGGTTGGATGGTTTTCTTGGGAAAGTCTTTTCTAAGAATTTGCTTGAAAATCCAGGCCTCTTCTAATCTGTTTTGCTAAATCTTAAACACATGGCCTTTACGGATGCCAGAGCTGGTGTGGACAGCCTGTGAGGTATTTTCTGCCCAGATCTGGAAGGGACCCAGAGTCCACTGGCTGGAACCCAGGCATGGAGGCCCAGCTTAACCTCAAAGGAGGCTGGGAACTGTAGTCTCGCTGGTGCTCATTCAGAACTGGTAAGATGGATGGCGTTGAGCCAGTCTGCACGGAGCAACTGAGCATGGCCGTGTTCTTACTGGAAACAAATTCAGCTTGAAGTAAGAAGCCTGATCTACTTTGAATCAGGCCTTCTGCTTTGAAGAAGGCCTTTTGGGTTTGGTGGATTTGAGTTCTACTTCTTGTCCTCCCACTAATTCCTGTTATTGGATAAGTTTATAAAATGGAAGTAATATTGGTATTTAGTTCACAAGGTCGGCATGAGAATTAAATGAGTTATGCTTAGCAATTGCGTGTTTGTGCTGTATATATGTTAACCATGAGGGTCATTATTATTAAAATTTGCTTATTTACTCAATGATCTTAGAGGAAAGATTTCTATAGCAGTGATATTCAAACCCAACTACACAGCAAGGTCACTGGTGAGATGTTTTGGAAACTTCTCCATAGGGAAGGTTAACACTCTAGATGTGCTGAGTCTGAACCTCCTTCCATCTGGATGTGGACAAAGCCATGCATACTGAGCTGCTGAACAATCAGGGCTGAAAAACACTGGTTATCACCTGCACAAGATAGCCCAGGAGAGTCCAAAGTCTTGAAAAATAGGTATACTTGAGGAAGAGACTGTAATTGCCAATGGATCAGATGTCAGAGGATAGAAGGAGATCAGAGAATTTCCTAGTAGAAATTAGTTCTGATGTTCAGCACTATAAATCAATAAAATGTTAGGAAAATCAATGGTTAATGTGAGGTAGCCTCATGAGCTGACCTGATCACTCCTGGTGTTTGCTTCATAGAGTCCCATAGTACTTGTTTTTAGTGCTCTCTAGCCCTGTCTCTGGATCCAACCTATTACAATCTGAAGCCATCTGCCTAGGAGGGATATAGGTAGTTGGAGACAATTTACTTTTCTGAAGAGAGGAACAAAAATATCTTTCTCTATCGGATCACGGGCATGGTTCCATATGCTCTGGTTATGAGAAGTCATCTCTTTTCTTCTTGTGAAACATAAAACCGTTCATGTTGTCAAAGCTTCTCAAGCCCATTGATGGCATACTGTGGGCTCTTATTTTCTTTAACTCCTTCTCAATTCCCATCAAATAGAAAATGTTGGGAGCACTTCAACAGTGAAAGTAAAAGGAGGTATAAATCAGGATAAGCGCCCTTGTGCTGAAGTAACAAGCGATCTCTGATTCTCAGTTATTTATTATAGGGAAGAGTGATTTCTTATGCTTGTTTCATGTCCCTCAAGGTCAGCTGGGAGCTCTGCTCTCTGCTGTTCTCTCTCCAGGATCTAGGCTGGAAGATCAGACATTGAAGGGAAGAAGGCATGGTTTGGGGAAGAGAATACTGGTCATGTCTATTATGGGCAATTAAAGGCTCCAACATGGAGAAGATGGCATCATAACAAATTGATCTGAACCATTCATAGAACCACTTCCCCAGCTCCCTACATGGCATCAGAAGGTTAGGACTTTTGTGTGCCCAGGATGAGAGGAAAATTGGGTACAGATGAAAATGACGGGCTGTCACAGAGATATAAATGTCCAAATGATGCTTGAATTTCATACTGCTGGTAAGAACAAAACCATGATAATCATATGTAAATATGTCAAAGACAGCTCACTCACCCCAGCAATCTCTCAAACATTAACCCCGACAAGGAATTTTTCCCCCTAAACTTTACGAAATTGTGTAAACAAAGAAATTACTAATGATGACTTCTTCTTTGGATAATAGCTTAACTATTTCAATTTTTTTTTTTCTATCTAAAAATTTCCCCAGAAATAGTTACGTATTTATGGAGTTGTCTGGGTACATCTTCCTTATTGTTGAGAACACATTGGGGGGACTTTTTGTTTTAAGGTATCTGATAGTCTTTCTGCTCCATGCAGGTGGGAACTGTTTTTAATTCTGTGTCTTCCTACCTCCCTGGCTGTGCCTAGCATAGGATAATCAGTCTCCCCATTTTGACTGGAAAAAACATGATGAGTGTGTGTGAAAAATGAGTTGGCACTAGTTTTACAACCCCTCAGAATGTTTCCCAAGTGTTTCTGGGGAAATTGGGAAAATCTCAAAATTAATTTCCAAAGATTTTCATTTAAGCAATAATATGACCATTCTCCTACTAATGCAACATCAGGCAGTAAGCTATGCATGTTATGGAGTTGTTGAGGCAAGCATATTCTCAGGGTTCTCTTGAACTCTGGAATAAAGATTGTATTATGCTTTTGGTAAAAGCATCATCCGACTCCTGTGTGAGTGAGTGGGCACATCTTGCAGCAGGTATGGTATCAGGTCCTGATTACATAATACTTACCAGGTTGTCACTTTCCTTACTAGGAAATATTTTGGGGATTGTGTGTTGAAGACAATCTATTGATTATTTAGATAGTCCTACCTAAAAGAAATGTATTTGTCAAGGATATGGAAGGAGAATTTTTCTGAAGGGCTTCAGTCTGAAAATCATGTTTGAAAATAAGGATATTTGAATGTGGGTTTTGGCGCAGTTAGCATCCAGGTTGTGACTTGAATTAAACAAATGAAATAAACTTCGTTCAGGAGGCCTCTTTTTCAGTTCAGCTCCTCTTGCCTTTCAATGTCTTTTAAGATGATTATTATTTGTAGTATGTGCCGTTTGCATTTTATAATATCCTGTCTCTATCTTCACAGTGCTCAGCTCCCCCAGCACCTGTGCAACCTAGGAACTCCTTTTCCCCCTGGCATTGGATTTCTCATGGCCATTGTTCAAATATTAGGGACAATTTCTCAGTGTCACTGAATGTGGGCAGTTTAGCTTTCCCTGTCTGCTGTGGTGCAGTCAGGCCTGAATGGGAGTCCTATTAGACCTCGTATCTATTGACAAAGAGAGAACAGATTGCACAGAAGCCAATTCTTTCTCACCTTGACCACAGGCTTTCTTGAGTCTAGAAATAACTGATTCTTTAAAGAAAAGAATGTTTGCATTAGCCAAATTACTCTCGAGATATATAACAAATACTACATTTGCAATCATCATAAACCAGATTTTTAAAACTACTGCAAAAATACCGTAGAAGTTATGTTTCATTTTCTATTTTATGCTGGGAATGATAATACTTTGTGCTTTGTATAGTTGGGAGACTCAACATTCTCAGCCCCCCTTTTTAATTACGGGCTCCTAGAAGCCGGTGGAAAATCACAGGCTTTGATGTATAAAATAACTGAGCAAAAGGGTGTAGAACCTTATAAAATACCTGAGTTTAATCTGGACCAGCCAGGAGCAAGACTTGAAATCCTCTTATTGAGAAAAATGAACGAAAGCACACTTGCCTTTTGAGGCACAAAATAAAAGAAACCTATAAAATTTGTGTGGCACAGTGTCCCAGAAATCAATTATGTAATTTTGTACAATCATATCAGGTGGAGTATCAACCCATTACTGAAACTCAGAGCTTTCAAACCTAATGGAGACTATTTGACATTCCTAGGCGAGCTGCCAAAGGCCCATTTCCAATTGCCAACATGACAATTATTGACACAGACATGTACAGGCAGGAAAGGGTTTTCAAGGAAATAATGTCAATAATTTTTCTACTATGTTTTAAGCTAAAAATCAGTAGAAGGCGAGTGACCAGAATCCTTATGGAATCCATATCTAAAAATCCTTCAGGTTTTGGAAAAGAAAAATCTTAACCCTGCAGAATAGTGACGGGCATAAGAAGGGTAGGTGCCCGTGAAATCCAGTGAGGTTGGAAATGCAGAGCTGGGCTGTGCCTGCGGGAGGTGTTCAGAATTCTACTAATCTGCCATCTGTAGAGGCACAGGCCAACCCCTCACGTTCCTCTGCTCCATCCACTCTGCATATCACCACAGGCCCCTCTCGACAACTCTCATTCCATTAAATGGCTCTGCTTACACAGGGCCCTCCGTGGCTGCCTCCTGTCCGTGCCTCACTGCTACCCCAGGATTTGGGTCTGTTGTTTCTTCATCCAGTCTCACCTGTCACTGCTCCCAGCGAATCTCTCTCATATCTGAGGTGCTTAATCCTCCTTCTGAGCCTATTCTCATGCTGTCCCTTCATTCTGAAATGTCCTTTCTGATCGATTTGCCAACCTAATTTTGCTTATTCTTGGAGGTCTCGAGTTGCCTCCTGTGATCCACACTAGTGGTTGTTTAATGAGAGTCCATCAAGGCCGGGGACTATACTAAGAGTGATCTGTGTGTTGAATTTATGTTTTGGGTACCTCTATCTTTCTTTGACAGGTAACAAATAAAGTGATGCAGGTAATAAACAGAAAGTTGTTTCCTGCCCACAGATTTTTTTTTTTTTAAAGTATGCTTCTTCTTGTGCAGTTAAATGACTTCTTTTCTTTAGAGAAATACATGATAGACATTCACGGTAGGTATTACTGTTCCCACTTTAAAGATGAAGCAACTGATGTTCACAGGCCTTGAGTTTGTTGTGTAAATTCATTTAGATAATCAAATAGAGAGTACAAATCAGACCTTTCTGACCCCAGAATTCATGTGAAATGGTGACTTTTCTCTATTTCCAGAATCTACGGATCTCTTCAGCCTCCTGCGTCTCTTGCTTTCCAGGTGTTTCTCTATGGTGTGCCTCCCCAGAAGCCTCCTTAGGCAGAGGAGCTGTACTCTCCTTCTTCCAAGGCCCCAGTTATCCATCATGAGATGGGAACCTGCTTTGGACACCTGCTCTTGCTCCAGAGGCTGGCCCTGGCTATCTGGGGTGGGCCTGAACTCAAGAAGTGTTCGTTTTCTTCAGTCCAGAAGAAGGCTCCCAAGAGCTTTTTTTGTTGTTCTGGTGATGGGGGAGGTAGTTGGGTGAAGAGAGAGCCAGGGGTTAAGAAGATTCCTGCCCCCATTCCAGAGAAGCAGGAGAATTAGCCTAGGGTGAAAGTGATGGGGGAATAAGTACCGGGGATCACCTGTACCTCAGGCTCTGCTAGGTCTTCTATGATGCTTTGTGACACATGGGCCCATTGGAGTCAGGACCAGTGGTGTGCAGGGCAGTGGGTGTTTGTCAAAGTACCTCCTCAAGATGATCACTCAATAAAGCGACGCTTCTTCATCTCATGTTTTGTGCAAGGAGAAGTCAGATGAAGTTGGATGTGCCTTTGATGTGAAACTGTAGAGGGACATGCTGTGGAGGTCACCCAGACAGGGCCCTGAAAGACCTTGTTCTCTTGGTGATTTCCTTTGTTTAGAGATCCAGGTGATTAATTCATTTCCTCATGATAGGCTTTTGTGTATTTGGTGAGATACTATGTTTCCCTATTAAATGGATAAGGTAAAGAACTCTATAACTCATCTATTTTGTTTTTATTTTGGCCTTTAGGAAATCCAGAGCTCAATGGAATGCTTCATTTCAGTACTTGCATTTGGCCTAGCTTTTTGGTGCATCAACCTTTGTTTCATAGATTCATGAATAAATGGACACAGGAAATAAACAGGAAGTTCTTTTCTACTCATAGCGGGCTTCTCATTATGCAGTTAAGTGACTTTTCCCCCCTTAAGGAAAACCAGTTTGAGTTTTGCTGGCTCTTATGATGTGTTCATTTACCCTTGACTTCCAGGAGAGAGAACATGCCAAGGACATTCCTGAATTTTTTTTCCTAGATTATACTTTTACTCCTATTGCATAAATTATAAGGTTAAATGCAAGTTTACATTAGATTATGTGATCTCTATGTCGTGGGGAGTCCAGTCTGGGCCTAGCATGGACTTCAGTTCTCTCAAACCCTATGCCTCGCTGTGGTGCCACCAGCAGATGGCTTCCTGCAGGAGAGGTGGGAATATCTGGGGCTGAGGGGACCGTGGAGTGTGTCTGCCTCTGTAATTGATACTTATCATAGTCCAGTGGGTTTATCTTCCAGGCTGGAGTTAAAAGGGCTGTTTTTATGAGAGACTTTATTATACACAAGGATGCCGATAGTGCTGGTGCCTGACAGAGGGGTGGCACCTGGAGGTTGCAGGAGAGGCACTTCCTAAGGGTGGATCACTGTGTAGCCTTGGCTCCTCGGAGACCAGCAACCGATTCAGACAGTGCACGCACAGGCAGACAGGAGAGAGGAGCCTCCCTGGCTAGCAATACGGGCAGAGGGTTTGGGTGGAGAAATATTGTCAAGTGGCATCTGGGGTACTGCAGGGGGTAGTAGGACAGCCAGCGAGACTCTGGAAGAACAAGCAAAGCCTTTGGGGGGGGCAGAGGTTCCTTACTAGACATTTAGGATGTTATGTCTTAAACATCTGTTTATTTCCTTATTTATCTATTTATTCTCATTATCAACCTTATTGACACTCACTGGGTTTTAAGGCCTGGGGAAACCAAGAGGTCACCCACATCATCCCAAATCAGGGGTGGGCTAGTGTCTGGCTTCTCACCTGGCCTCTCCCATGTTCCTAAGTGCCCTCTTGAGTTTATGCAGCTCTTGTGATGTGACCCAAGGTTGGGCCAGTCCCCTCGCCTGGACTAGATGATGCCTAAGAACACTTTTATATCTAAAATCCTATGAGTCCGTTTTTAGATACAAACTAGGGGGTGAGGAATACACAGCAATGAAACCAAGGGAATGAGTTAATCCATTTGGGTCGCTCCAACAGAATATCATAGAGCGAGGGTCTGAAACACAAATGTCACTTCTCACCATTCTGGTAACTGGAAATCCAAGATTAAAGTGCCAGCAGATCCGATGTCTGCTGAGGGCTCCATTCCGGGTTTATAGATGGTCGTCTTTTATTTTCGTAAACCCCACAAGGTATTGAGGAAAAATCTGTCTCTCCTATGTCTCCTCTGATAAGGGCATTGATACCACCATGATGTGCTCCACCTTTGTCACCTAATGATTCCCAGTGGCCTCCCCTCTGAATTTCATCACATGGAGGTGGTTAGGATTTCAGTATGTGAATTTTGAGGAAACACAGACATTCAGTCCATGATAGGGCACATTAAGGGAAATTGGAAGTGAGGTTTATGGGAAGGGGCAAAGGATGGCCTGAAGGCTGAGGACTTGACTTGCCATTTGTGCCATTTAACCTTGGATGGGTTACTTGACCACTCTACACCCAGCCTTCCATGCTTAGATCCTGAGTATCAATCCTTATCTCCAACACTTGTGGTGAGTCTTCTGTGAGTGTGTGTGTGTGCACGCCTGCAGGTGTGGGCTGGCCATGGTGCGGGTCCTTGGTGAGTGGTGTGCAATTGATTGATTGATTGATTGACTTTTGGTATGGTACTGGGGGTAGAACCCAAGGGTGCTCTACCACTAAGCTTTGTCTCCAGCCCTTTTTTAGTTTTTATTTTGAGACAGGGTCTTGCTAAGTTGCCCAGGCTGGTCTTGAACTTGCAATTCTTCTGCCTCAGCCTCCTGAACAGCTGGGATGACAGGTCTGTGCCACGATGCCAGCATGGTGAGTGCCTTTGACTGACATGCAACACCAACTTTCCAAGTCCTTCAGGCATCTGGGATCAGATGCCAGACCTTCTTCATTGTTAGAAAACAAAATGGAAAGGAACAGGCCTTATTTTAGTCAAAAGGTCTGGTTTTGAGAATTACCTTTGTTGTTTATTAGCAGACATATGAAATAGTTCAAGTCCTTAATTCCTAATCTGTAAAGCAAAGCAATTAAATTTTCAATTTTTTCCCTAACTCTTATGATTTTAGTATGCATAAGCTACTAATTCCCCCGAAACTAGGATTTTTTAAAATTAATCTTTATACTTCCCACAACATCTAGCACATAGTAGGTGTAGCAAAACATTACATAGGACAAATGAGATGGCTCCAGTAATTTAATTTTCTCATCCTCAAGAGAGTAAGAAAAGCTCACATAGAACCAAGGGGTGTAAAACCTTAATTCTGTGAGTGCTGTGCTATCTGAGTCATGCTGTTTCAAAGATTCAGGCTTGTGGCCTAAACTGATAACAAATTCTTTCCATTAAGAAATTGCTCTCTCTGGTGAGCCTGACTTTTGAAGCAATGCAGACAATGTGAACACCAGCAGAGTGATTGGGTCTGCTCATAAAATCATTGCAGCCAGGTTGGGTCATCCAAATAAAATCCCAACACAGCCCGACGATAGCAACAGAATACAGTGAGGGCGAGTAGTCTGATTCAACACTGGGGAGGGGCATTGTTAGACAGGTCGCAGTGCAGGCCTCAGTCCTTTCAACTCAAGATTCAGAAACCAGATTTGTTATGTGCTGATCTTTTAGTAAACATTCATCCTGAAGCAACTAACTGAGATACAAGGGCAGTGTCTGTTGAGAACACTTGGTCCCTGTGTTTAAGCAATGGGTCTCAGTCCACAGATACATGAAGGCCTCAGTGCCTCCCTGACATGTGAGAGTAAGTTGGATGTGACAGGCTTCCACCTGCTTTGGGGCAGTGTGTCTTTCTGGCTCCAGTTGGAGAATAGAGTCTGGAGGTGGCCAGGATGTGTGGCCTGGGTTGGAGGGAGAAGGAACATGTGGGGAAGGTTGGAGGGACAGGGAGCATCTTTTATGGCCTTCTGTCTCAATACATTCTTCCTAGAGCAAACTTTCAATGCTGCTGGGTGTGTCTGTCCATGTTTGTCTTCTCTTTGGGGCTGGGAGAGAGAAGGTGGCTTTTCTGCCTCCTCGTCTGGGCCTGTTTACTATGATTTCTCCTGGTGTAGTTGCTGGGTGCCTGGTCTGTAGTGGAGGCTGCACTTGACCAGGGACCTTTGGAATTCAGTAAATTCCCATCCCAGGGAGGTATAGATACCACAGAACCAGAAGAGTCATGGGTCTCCAGTTGTTTGTTTTTATTTTTAAGATCATCAGGGGAAAGTGCACCTTCAAGGCTCCATCCAGAGCAAAGAATTGTTGCTATTGACTTTTATCCACTTCCTAAGCACTGCATCTCTTTCAGGCCTCATCAAAGGCGTAATCCTTCATTCAGAATCTTTTTCATCGCTTTAAATAGTCCTCCTGCCTTTGTTGAAGTTTTCTGCCTTTAGACAGACGAGGTCAAATCTGCTCCAACAGTGGAAATAAAATGGGGGAGGAGAGCTAGCTGTAACCTTGAAACCTGAGAGATGGGGAATAATTTTTTTTTTTTTTTTTTAAAGAGAGCTATTCCTTGGCTACCCTGATCTCTTAAGGCACATCAGAAAAAGTACTATTTTTTAAACAGAAAATGTTAAGAAAAACGGCTGCGCTAATATATATATTTCAACAAGTTTTGGAGAGAAAAAATGATCTCCAAATTGTTTGAGAGAGTCGGCCCGGTTCTATTATATCGGTATAGCAGCAGGGTATAACAAAGCTGAAGATTTAAGGCAATTTTGACACCTGAAAGCGGAACTGCACAGCTTTTAAACCCAAAGAGGATTCAGCCTGCTCACTTATTACTTTCCACATCTTCAAAAGGACAATGTCTCTTTTTTAATCTCTTGGCTTTGCTGTGAAGCCGTGGGAAGTTATTGACTTGATGGACACTGTAAGTATACAATCGGGCAGAAAAGGGACGGTGGTGCACTCGGGGGCTGCGAGTTCAAATTCTCATCTCTTTGTGGCACTCCCCTCCCTGCTCAGGCAGAATTGGAAAGGGCAGGGCAGACGGCAAGGGTCTGCCGTGCGTTTTGATGGGGGTGCTCTCGGTGAGTCCTGGGCCCCTGAAGCTGTGCGGCTAGAGACAGGCTCCTTTTGCCTTTCTGTTGTTATTTTTTTTTAATCTGACAGCTCCCAGGGTTCTGTTGGATGGCGTGCACAGAAATGCCATGCCGCCTTGTAGCCCCTGCGAGCTAAAGTAATGAACAAGCAATTAAATCTCATGCTTGAGGGCCTGTGCTGATTGCAAGGAGAGGGGCCCGGCCCACCTCGCTCTCTGCACACAGGCACAACCCGGGCTGTCTCTCTTGGAGGGGAAGCATCGCTGACGGCCTGCACAGGAAGTGTGGGTTCTAAGGGGAAAGGACTCAGGTAAAGGGGGTGTGCTCTGAGATACCTCTGCTGAAAATAGGTGCCATTTGATGTCCTCCTGAGGTATCATCCAGGCCGTCATTTCTTAGCAAAACCCAACAGGCCATGACTTTGCTTTTTCTTCTTTTAAACAATATCCTCTGATAAGTTAATGTTTACTAAGGACGTGTTTCTAAAAAAACAGGCATCTTGGTTTTGGCTGTAGACTGGGCTTTATCTAGTTATATGCTGTGAAGTTAAATTGCGTTTTCTTAAGTTTCCTGTTCAAGTGACTCAATTTCGATAGGGGTTGAAAGGGACAGTAGCCACATCTCCAGTGTCACACTGGAAGCAAGTGGAAGAACCACAAATGGACCC